ATTCTCCTAGGTCAAGAAACTCAATACTATCGGGTAATATAATATTCTATAAATTAATATTTAGTTGAACATTAATATTATATTGTAAGTTATACGAAAATAAGTTAAAATGATTTTTTATCTTTAAATATGAGCTTCCTAGTACGTGCAATATATGGGATGTTCGAAGTCAGTGGGCTCCCAACAAGTCGGTGTGTACAAGAAGAGTCTCTTGTCCAAAAAAAATCTCATTTTTCGGAATAAGACTACATGTAGGAACACATGTAAGGAATATTGTCATTGACAGGTATGTGCCACCTAAGCGATGGGTAGCTAGGTCAATCATGTCACACTTCAACACCAAACTGAAAAAATTGAGTTGATATGACGGCATTTGACATGTTATTTTCTTGCCACAGTACGGTGAGATTGATTATCTGACCTATCAGATCAGTAAACGCTCAACTAAGCTAATAAAGTTAAGAAAAATTTATTAAGTTGATAGGGTATGTATATATTGATGTTCATCATATAAAAAACAATTTGCAATGTGGTATCTTAGTATGGAGGAAAAAGACAGGTACATAGGTAGCCAACGGTAACACAAGGCGACAAATTAAACACCTTATTATCTGGGTCATATTCTATTCCGGAAACTTGTTTGCATCCCCACAACAATCTTAAACAGTGAAAATCCGCAGGCCATGGGGTACGGTGCGTATAGTATTTGAACAAATCAGATCATATCAGAGAACACAATCTGATCTATCCCAGATTTCACACACACACGCCATGCAGCAATTCAAATGCAAAGGCATATATGCATGCAGACTAGTCATTGTTTCCAGATTCTTTTCTTTTCTTTGCAGGTTAGCAGCAATAATACAACAAAAAAATTCGTGTTTCCTGGCACGGCATCCCATACTATGTGGTTAACCAGACATATTCACTTTGAGCCAGATGGAATGTCTTATTTGACTGAAAAATATAATGAAGCATTGACTGGTCAACCAATTGCTTGATTGATCCCCCAGGGCATGATACGATCTGGTCCCACATGTTCCATCGATCTGGGCCCCCCACTAAAGTTGTGTTTTCGTGATTCATGACCAAATGCTACCTAATTAATTAATCTGCATTACTGTGCTCCGTAAATTGCGACCATTAATGATCATGAATTAATAATAGTGAACTTGGACGTTGATTTGTTATGATTCTAATTAAGGTTTAGTTTTCATAATCATTGCGGAGGACTAACTTTCAACCAAAATATTATCCTCGATCAAAGGGAAAAAAGAACAAAATATTATCTTTTACTAATAAACAACAAAATATAATGATTAATGTGATAATAAGACAAAAAAGAACTCAAGATTTTATAGTGAAATGTTTAGCCTATAAATGAAGAAGTGGGACTTAGAAGTTAAGGACGTATTTCTCAAAAAGAAGAAGAATGAAGTGAGAACGTCTTTAACCTGACTCTAGATTCATGCTCAACAAACTTTCTCTCATAGGAGCTCGACCCATGAAATTTTATAAACATAATTTTTCTTTTTTTAAGATTATCAAAAATTAATTGTTGATGGGCCTGAGGACAAGTTTTTAAGGTCTAGAATATATGGCAAAGTTGAAAAATTAAATAATCGAAAAAAAATTATTCACTATTGCAAAGTTTATAAGATTTACATCAGTTACATACAAAAGACATTAATGGTCAAGCACTTGGCTGAACCAAATCTTTACTCTCTTTTTAGCTCTAACTATTTAATCTTAATTTATCGTAATAGTTTTGACAGTAGCCGCTTTATATTATCAAAGTATTATATTCCAGTATTGTAATAACACTCAAGCTAGATGTACGTGTCACTTCCTGTATTCGTTATATCAATTATTATGAAAAATTTTACAGTGAGGACTCTTAGAGTTGGAGTTCAACTTTGGAAAAAAATTATGAAATTGAGCTATTATACTAACATTTAATGCCTATGTAGTATGCTGTCATTAAATATTCTCCATGTTGTGACACCTAGCAAGCTATAACTCTTTTGTGTTGTGCTGGGGCAAATAATAGCCATCTTACGTTACGTTCAATCATAGGATCCAAAGATTAACCATCGTTGGTTTAAGATATTCTCATCACAAACATATACTCCGTATATAATATACATAATATAGACAGGTAGATATGGGTGATGAGAGGTTAGAATATATGGCGTTGTCGGTGTTGGGTAATAACGACATTGATTCTCCCACCACGAGCTCCTAGAATCTTGGTTCCTAGATTGGTGTATGTGGGGAAGGAGCACAAGAAAAGTGTGGCTGAGATTTACTCCGTATCGTAGCACCTCGTAATCCTCTTTTGGTTGCTAGCTCTATAATCACCTATTTTGTGGCTTGCATGTGCCCAAGATTTCATCTATCTCTTTCTTCACAAGGAACTCTGATCTCTAAGTCATTACTCTTTAGTTTTTATATTTTATGTTGAGCATATAGCCATTAATGCAATCCAACTATCACCTTAGCCTTTTAGTTGAGATGACACATGCTTCAATTTGGTATCAGAGTCATGTCAAATTTCAGCGCCAATGTTACCTATAAGCGACTACTGTCCACGCCAGTAATGCGCAATAAGCTTAAAAAGAATTGTCCGCTCCCCGAGTAGCGACCTAGCGAAAGGGATGACCTATAATTTGGGGTGCAAATCCTAATAAAAGAAGTAGACATAGCAACAACCTACTAAACAAAGTCTCCAGACCCAAAAAATAAAGAAGAAACCTTGAAGGAAAAGAAATGTGATTCCTGTCGATCTGACATACGTACATTATAATGAGGAATATAATCAAGGTACCTAGAAGAAGTGGTAAGGCATCAGTCCAGGAACAGTTGTAGGTTGAAATGGTGGCAGGAATTGATGAAATTGGTCGACAAACCCTACACGTCACTCTGACACTCCCCATTGCCATTAATAATACCAATGATTTGACTATACTGCAAATACACGCACACACACCGCACATGACATCTATACTTTTCTTCATACATAATTCTCTCCGATCCAAACCTACGTACGTGTAACTCACACAGACAGACAGATCATTCCTTCGTAATTAAACACCAGGACATTCATATATTACACAACAATTATACGACTAAGGTTGTCGATCTTATACTGCCCGACCATCAATTATTTATGGCGATGTGGTCGTGGTCCGCATAGGCTGCCACTATGTGTCGCAAAATGAGCATTGTGTACGCTATGAATCTATGATAACATTTATTATATTTTTGTTGGAAGAATAAGAATTGAAAATACTGAAGACAATATTTACTTGGTTTGGTAATGTGTCTATGTTCACAGAGTAACTTTTTTTTTTTTTTTTTTTTAATAGGATGATAGAACACACATGGTTACCAACCTCATATTATAAAATTGCCCGTGTACCGTATCGCGAGGGCGCTACATGAACTTCACTACGCTTTGCTCCATGTACAAAAAACTCCACTCAGCTCTACACTGTTTTGTCTAATACTTATAATCTTTCCGTACATATGAGACATACAGAACAATTTTAAACAGATAGTGACACTTCCTATTTATATTGTAAACTAGTCTAGGTTATGCATGCATAGTTGATTAATTCAAATCAAGACGTAAATAGGGCGCTCCGTGATGGATTTAATTAACCTGGGATAGCCCGAACTAATAAACCCGATAATATAAAGATAAAGATAATAAAAAGAGAAAAGACAAGGAATATATGTCGCGGAGACAATTCCTGTATTAATAATAGTTTGTAGGAGATCGAATAATTATATGGGTTGTAGCAATAGAATCGAATCTAGGATTAATTGTAGATTAGATGTTCTAACAAGACAACAATGGGTGTTTTTATATTAGTCCCCTCCAACAGCCCCCATGAGAATAGGGTGGGCGGTTGAATCGCCCTTTGACTGCATCCATGCATGCGGCCCTCCTGGCCGAGGCTGCCTACAGCCGGAGGTTTGAGGTCGACCTCGGGCCGAGGTCATCTCGAACTTCTCAGGTTGTCTCCACTCTTCTGTTTTGAGCTCATTTTTAATATATCCATCACTCTCATTGAGAGTCGAACTTATAACCAAGTTCATAGTATCATCAACTTGTTTAGGATTACTCTAGTATTGGGTGAAGTTTGGTGCATGGTGGGTGGGTAGTACGTGAATTAAGCATGCTAAAAATAAAGTGCAATCCTGCTCTCTGCCATGTGATCAGTGAATGTTGAGCCCTACATTGACCTGTGACCACGTTGCTTAGCTTGCTCCATCATCATCATGTGTCCATGTCACGTATAGAACATTCATGTCCTTAGCCCACTAAACACCGCATGATGTGGTCTATGGTTTCCATGGGCTCCACTATATGCCACCAACAACAAATAAACGTCTGAAAAACCTACTATACATAGTGGATTTTAATAAACATTTATAGTTTATTTTTTCACCAAAGTAAATTATTATTAACAATTTGGTATCGATCGTAAACCGTTAGTTGATGAAAGAGACAAAATAAGGAAAAGGATGGCGGATTTCGGGAATGGGAGATTGAAAATGAAGAAAGAAGGGAGAGTGGGAGAAAGTGAAGTGAGCCATAGCCTAGCTATAGACTCTGTCTAGTGGGGTCAAGTGGGTATACTCTTGTTTAAATTGTAACATGAAATCATTGTTTTATCACTTTAACTATCTATTGAGCATATAATATATATAAACATAAATGTGCAATTTAACTATCAGCTGAATTGGAACACATGCTTCAATCTGATATCAGAGTCAGGTTATGGGTTCGAATCGTTCGAATCTTCCCCATACAGAAAATTAAATAAAGATTAAAGGAACTAAATCTGACATTGAAGCTATCCTAGGCGAAGTTTTGGACCACGTAAGAATCTATGAAGTAACGACATCAGTCCTCGTAATCATTTAATATTACCGCCCTTCTCATCACAGCGCAGCTATACTACGTGTGTATATATATATATCTATGTGTGTGTGTGCCGGAGAGAAGTTGCCTTTAACTTGAGTTTGCTTCTTCCCTTCACCTTAGTATCTTATCTGCATGTATTATATATATATCTTCTTTGACATTTGGTTTGTTTTGAATTGAATTCAGTACCCCTTTGTTTCACACTGTCGGCCGCTACCCCTCACTCTCTCTCTCTCTATATATACATACAGTGTTTCCAGTCTCTAGCTACCATACAAAAGCCTTTAATTTGGTTCTGTCTGGAGATATATATATCATCAGTGCTGCTCTGATCTCCCAATTTCAAATCTCAGAAGGAATTTGAATATATTGCTCATAGCTGCTGCCGTAATTGGTGCATGGATGGATCCTTCTTGTGCACAGGTAACTTGATTCTCTGGAAAAAGATGAGATGAATTTCAAGAAAATTGAGTTTTCTTTCTGGGTTTCCCTAGTTGATGGTAGATGTTTTGGCTTGGGGCCAGCTTGGTGAAACGAGTCCAATATCCTGCCATAGAAACGTGGTGTGGTTAGACAGAGGCAGAGTTAACTTGGTGGCTAAGAGATGTTTGGGCGGAGGCCTGAAGGGCCAAGTCCAGCACCGGCTGCTTAGGTATTGTTAGACGGAGGTCTAAAGAGTCAGGTCCAGCACCTCGTTATGGAATTATTGGGCGGAAGACGTCGGCCTAGGTATTGTTGGGCGGAGGTCTAAAGAACCACGTCCAGCACCTCGTTAGGGGATTATTGGGCGGAAGACGTTGCCTAGGGAATTGTTGGGCGGAGATTTGAAGGGTCAAATCCAGCATCTAGTTAAAGAATTATTGGGCGGGAGTCGTCTGTCTAGCTATTGTCTCTCGAAAATGTGATCTTTTGTGGAGAAATTAAAGATTTGAAATTTTTTTTTTTTTTTTTTTGCAGGAAATGTCATCACAGACGCTAGAAAGCATGGTGGAGGCGTCGGCAAAGGCACAGCAGCAAGAGAAGAAGCCGCGGCCGGCGGATGAGCACGCCCAGAAATGCCCTAGATGCGAATCCACCAACACCAAATTCTGTTACTACAACAACTACAGCCTCTCTCAGCCGCGCTACTTCTGCAAATCCTGCCGGAGATACTGGACCAAAGGCGGCACCCTCCGCAACGTCCCCGTCGGCGGCGGCTGCCGGAAAAACAGAAGGTCGTCATCTTCCTCCTCCAAACCCAGAATCTCAACCGGCCAACAAGATCCCCATCAATCCTTGACCTCTAGCCCCGTCCTCACAACCTTCCCCTACGAATCCCCCCACGATCTGGGCCTCACATTCGCGAGCTTGCAGAAACAAGCGGATGGGAATCTAGGGTTGGAAGACCACGACATGGCGGCGGCGCCGATGATGTGTAATCCCAATAATACCCTCTCTGATGTTCTTGGAAACTACGGCGCCGCCTCAGCCACCCCACACGGCTTTCTTGATTCCCTTAGGGGTACCGGATTCCTCGAACCCCCAACAAACGGATTATTGTACCACAACAACAGCTTGCAGTACTACGGGGCTGTGGGGGAAATGGGAATGCCGCCGTACGATGTTCACATGGGTGGTGGGGTGTCCACGTCAGCTGCCGTGAAGCAAGAGATGTATAGTAATGGAAGAGATAATAATGAAGGTGATGATGACAACAGGGTATTATGGGGATTTCCATGGCAACATGGAGGAGAAGGGAACATGAACATGGTTGTTGTTAATGATGTTGATTCAAGCAGACAAAACAGCTGCAATATTGGGTTTGGTTCTTCTTGGCATGGCCTTGTCAACAGCCCTCTCATGTAGAGTTTCATCATTACAACCCCTTCAGATCTTTCGGTTTTTGTTGCATACTGAACTGGTATCTGTATCCCCGCAAATATTTCAGTTCAAATCTTCGGTTTTTGTTGCATACTGAACTGGTATCTGCATCCCGCAAACTTCTGGCCCGAAATCCTTCTTCTTCAATCTCAAGGAAAGTGTGACATATTTCCATACATGGTATACCCTGCTATTGAGAATCTGAAAATGTGAACATGTTACATGCATGTGTCTGAAGACTAGGTGAGAATTGAGGTTTAATTTCTCTACTTTCTATTTTAGAATTGTTCCAATATTTGATGGGATTGACAACCTAATTAATGATTTCAAGTTTGTTCCCTAATTAAACAAGTAGTAAGACTAATCTTTTTTATTACTATTAACTATATTACTCCGTATAAGATAATATTTATTCTATACTTTCTATATCTGTTACAGCCCAAATAGTCAATAATCAACACCGAGTTTCAATCTTGTGACTTACAGAAGTGTCATCTAAGCATAAGATCTAATCTTTTGTTAATCCCCAATTTTCTTACTAATCACAGTGCATCAGTGGCAGACAGCTACCTTATAATTTGGTCGTTTTAATCTTATCAGATTAATTAATATAATCAGACAAGTAGCTAGGATCCAAGTTGCGGTCTGTACGTAGAATTTGTTATTGTTATTCTAGGAAAACGACATATGCAATTCACATAAAGATCCAACTAAGTGCATTTATTTTTATTTTGCAACATTCCTAGCGTACCCACAAAGAATTAATTGCATCATATTTTAATATTATTAATCACATCATGGCACATCAATCACAATAATATATATATATATAAGTACATGTAATTTTTTTTATACAACTGGTATTCTCTTTGATTTGTCCGTGATCGATATTTAAGGTGCGTTTTGGATGGAGTCTGTCATATAATCCTAACTAACAAAGGACCGCATAGGAAATAAACCAACCTGAGTTGCCAAATCAAATTTAAATCCTCGTAGTTACCGAGCAACCTTTCCCATCAACTCAGTTAAGGTTGTCCCCATCATTTAGTATTCTCACCATTGTAATAAAAGATTCTGTTCCGTCTCAATTAAAACCTAAGTTAATAATTACGTTGGACAGAACATTTAAATTTTATATATTATAATGCTCAACAATTATGAGAGTTTGGCTCTTATTCGAAAAAAGTATAACATTATATTGCAGTTGCATTAACCGTCTGCTTACCTTTTTTATATATATTATATATATTAATATATAATGTTATGTCACTGTTTGAGCAACAAGTTGGAGTATGTATTAAAATGAATAGGTGGTTTTCAAGATATTCTTTCATGAGTATATCTTATTTTTAGGTAGATTCTGTGATTATTAAACATGATAAAATACTATATGTTGAAATTATTATAATGTATTAAATGAGGGTAGATATATGGCTCTTTTCTTCATTCTATTCTACGCATTATATTGGAATTTTAGGTTAGCATTAGCACCAATTTCGGCCTACATTGTCCCATCTTCCCCATTAATATTTACCAAATCCAACAGGAGATTTGGGCGTGAAGAATGATTAATATTTTATACCTCTACCGACATTGACAATCTGTAGCTAGCTTTAAACCAACTTCACATAAATTTTTAAGTGGGTCCTACAACATTTTTTACATATCCCTTAAAAAACAACACAAAAAAAATCTGTTAATAGTATAGATAGATCAAATGGTTGAACCAATACTAGAATGTTGAATCTCACGCTCTGAATTAGACAATCCCTTAAAGTGGATAATGCGCACCTCTTGCAATTACTTGGCATGCAATCAGTCGACCAATTTACTTTTAACAAATTTTGTGCCTACCAAGTTACTCCCTCCACCATCCTATCGGACCAGGTTGTGGGATCCTTGTAGCGAAGAATTTCACATTTGTGAGCAAGCTACTAATAATTTGTTTGAGTCGTCAAGAGTCAAGAAGCACTATTTCAATATAACCCAATCATTCAACCCACTGTATTAAACTACTGTTTATTCCAACATAAATAATTGATCATTCAATGTCAAGTTTATTGAAGAATTATGAGTTAATACCCAAAATGGTCCCTCGACTATGCCATAATTACTAATTTGGTCCTCAACTACCATTCTTACCCAATTAAGTCCTCAACTATGTAACTTTTACTCAATTAAGTCCTCAACTATACAACTCTTACCCAATTTAGTCCTCAACTATACAATTCTTACCCAATTTAGTCCTCTGTATTAGTTTGACTGTTTGTTGACTGTCAAAAGTCGGGATAAAATTATAATTTTATAAGATTTCTCCTTCCTCTCCATTTAGCAGCGCCAAACCATGCAGCAATACACTCCGATCAGATTTCGATCGTCAAAAAATCGTTGGAAATCAAATTCATGGGCTATCCGATGCATAACCACTACTTCGATACTGACAGGTTTAGAACCCAACCAGAGCTTATTGCTACATGGTTTGGCGCTGCTAAATGAGGAGGAAGGAGAAAACTTGTAAAATTACAACTTTATTTTCACTTTTGACAGTCAACAAACAGTCAAATTGACAAAGGACTAAATTGGGTAAAAATTGTATAGTTGAGGACTTAATTGAGTAAGAATGATAGTCGAGGACCAAATTGGTAATTACGACATAGTCGAGGGACTATTTTGGGTATTAACTCAAGAATTATTATCATAGCTCTACTGTTATAGTCAATTAGTCATTTCATGATAGAGTTTTGTTTCTATACGATAAGGTCGGCATTTGATATAGATTTTTTTCATTTGTCATTTCAGAGAGGTTTCCCACCACGGAGCTCCTCGTGTCCTAGTTGCCTGTCGATCTACCAGTCAAGAACTAGGTTAACCTTCCAATGTTCATTGTTTCATTTTCAGTGTGTCACTTCATGTTTCACTGAAGATGATCCAATTTATGTTGTCCTTTTTCAAGAATGACACCTGGCCCTTGGGTTACATCACATACAAGAATCCATATCTAATCATACATGTGTATCATACTCATAGGAAATGTGAGCCATGCTCCACAACATTAATATATAATTGAGTAAAACTATCAAAACGAACCAATAGAACTATCAAAACGGACCAACAGCTCGGTAAAACCATCAAATGCAAAAACCCAGCCAACCCATTTAAAACCCGTCTCCAACGGGTCACAACCTTGTTCAATGGTAGAACAAATTGGTCCACTAAGCTTAACCCATTTTGACAGCTTTAAATTCATAGGTAACATAGTAGTTTAGAACCCTAGTTTAGACTCACATCAGTTTCAGTATACTCTCAAAGTGAGAACATAAACATATCAATAAAGTAGGTAATTAGTGCATAGTGCAAAGTGCAAATTGAGGAGATCTATCTCAGGCACAAGCTATAATTGAATAACAATAAAGAAGTCTTCCATGGGAAGAGATGCTAAGGGGTATCTTGCACAATAATAAGGCTACAATAGGGATGATGCTAAAGCACTTAATAGCTCAAGATCTTGGCTTCTCCTTTTTCTCTTTGAATAGAGCTAGGAGGGATACGCCGGACACCTTGACAACCTTGAATCTGACACCAGGAATATCTCCCACAGCATGGCCTTTACGACCAAATCCGGCAATCAAGACTTCGTCCTACAAAAGGAGGACACCAAGTTTAGAAGATTGACTTTGGGATCATTAATTTAACGCCAGGTAGAAAATCAACATTACTCACATTTTCCTCGATGTAGTTCAAACAACCATCATTGGGAACAAAAGCAGCGATCTTCTTTCCGTTCTTGATCAGCTGAACACGAGCACACTTTCTAATAGCAGAGTTGGGCTGTTTAGCCTCAATACCACTGTAAAATTCATCCAAAACACATGTTTTAGGGCAATTGAGTCATAAATAACAAAAAGTACAGAGATATACAGAGTACTTGGCATTACATCTTCTCAAGAACAATCCCCTTGGCGTGGGAAGATCCAGCAAATGGCTTCTTCCATTCATTACCAAGATGAGATTTCTTGTAAGCCTTATCAGCCCATCGTTGCCTTCTACGGTGGGACTTCAGTTTGCGACCAGCTCCCATTCCACGTGTTTTCCTGTAATCATGCATAATATGAGTCCCAAATTATACAAAGGAGAAATACAACCGCTCATAAAATTGTGAAATCACAATCATTATTATAAGATGTGCAGCATATGCACATGAAAGTAACAAGAGAGTCAAATAGGAAATAAGTGACCTGATCCAAATAAATGAACATGAAGAGGCACTTCACAGTCTAGTAAATTATTCAAATTAATAAAACTATCAGAGGCCACTCAACATCAATAGGTTGACAAGCATTTACCACCTCATAAAATGCTAAATTGTTTTTAGGAGTTCAACAACGTTGTCCTATGGTTTGCTAAAAATCTGAAATAATCACTTTGTTGCAATCAAAATCATATTGATATTATGTAGAAATTTTATTCTATATTACAGTTGAAATTTGAAAATCTATGATCATGAAACTCTCTCAAATGCTTAGAAAAAATTAACCAAATCAGTAGCAATAACACTATGAAATTGAAAATGTTTAAATTTCAAAAAAATTTCTCAGCTCCACCCCCACCACCAACAATATTTCATATTTGGAGACTGAAAGTAAAGGACAGAATGTTTGAAGTTTAATTTTCCAGTTCTGCTAAACTAAAGGCCCTGAGTTATAGGACTCCATAACTACAAAGCTAGGAAATCAATACAATATGCGATTAGTATTTAAAGCAGTTCCTACCATTTAAGTAGCTACCCTGCTTTGCCAAGATGTAATAATGAATTCAAAGCATATTCCCAAGCAATTCAAACGACACAACCAATAAGACTGATGGTGCAATATTGTTAATAAACTCTAGCTATAGCATTGTAAAGCCAGTCATTTGAAATCTTAATTAGACACCACAGACCTCAGGTAAGATCTTTCTATTCTTTCTTTCTTTTTTTTTTTCTTTTTTTTTCTTTTTTTTCATTTTTCAACTTTCTTGAATGTCAGAATATTGCAGCAGCTAATAGAGTAAGAAATATAGAATTAAATGTTTACTCTCCACTAATCTGCAACCCCACTGAGCTTGGGATCTCAGAACTTTTAATGAGAGAGACATTTGATTTGAGTCCATTAGCATTCAAAGCTGTTCATGGCCACTCAAAGGGCTCAACTGCTTTGCCAAGATGGACTATGAAATTAAGGTACATTCCAATAGATCCCAGATCAGTGGCATACATTCTGGTTCCTTTCGTTCTTCAACAAACTAGGCATATCCATTCTCCAAGTCTCCATATACTATGAAGTCACTATATACTCCCCACTCCCTCAACTTAATATCCGTACGCGAAAAATATGAAATAATCTCGTGAGAAACGACCAAATATCGAAATAAGAAAAATTAGATACAAATTTTTAGCATCAATCATGCAAGGCGCAAATCTTTAACAAAGCATTGCAACGATTGCAAGTACATGTTTATTCACTCTTTATGTAAAGTAAATACAGAAGGAAGAATTTTTACCCCATGGTGGCGGAACGAAGTGGCTCTGCTGCAGCTGGCGGTTTTGGGTTCCGGCGGTGCTGTGCTGTTACGAGAGCTGCTGAGCTGAGAGACCACTTCCAGTCGAAAAAAAACCCTAGAGAGAAGAAGTTTTAAAGATGAGTCTTGGGTCGGGTCATTTTACAATAAAATGTATCCCATTGAATTGGGCCGACTCTCTTTCTCTCTTATGGATGAGCCCAAAGCGTTTCGGAACAATTCTTATGCCGTGGAATCGTGTCTACCTTGCAAGGTGGACATGATTCTATGTTCATAATTATAAAATTCTATATTCATAATTACTGAATTCTATATTCACAATTATAAAACTCTATGTTCATAATTATAGATCTCTATGCTCATAAATACAAAATTTTATGTTCATAATTTTTGAACTCTATATTCACAATTATGACAGTTTTGGAACCGTGTCCACCTTGCATAATTTGCCGTTTTGGAAGTTCTTTATCGTCACAAACTTCAATCATTATATTGTGGATCAAGGTCCACAATACACTGTAGACCCTGGTCCAATACGCATAAATCATGTTCATAATACACAAAATTCATGTTTATAATAAACATACATATAAACATAATATAATGAACATGAATTCGGTGTATTATATAGCTGAAGACACATAAACACTTAACATAATACACATAATTCATGTTCATAATGCACAAAATTCATGTTCGTTACACCGTGTGTATGTGTATGTGCAATTGTGCATTATGAACATGAATTATGTATCTTATGAAGTCAAATTCTGTGTATTGGATCAGGGTCCACGATATAATTTGCCCACAAACCAAGTTTGGGTTGTATATGAGGTGGACCATGCATGGGGTATAATGGTATATTATCTCTCAATTGTTATACCATGGACTAGGGTTCATATTGCATTGTGAATCCTGATACAAATTTTTTTACCTTTAGTTAACACATTCTGCATCTATATATAGTTAATAGTTTTTGTACATGCAAACAAATAACTTGATAATTGCTGACACAAGATAGTTACAGGTACAGAAACTATCATCTGCATGTACAGAATATGTCAATTGTATATACAAAATCTGAATGTTATTTTTGGACCAAGATCTACAATGCAAGGTAGACCCTGGTCCATAGTATAATTTGTCATTATTTCTATGCATATGATACATTATTTTCTATGTATAAAATAGATTATTTCTACGCATAAAGTACATTATTTTTATACGTAATGTTCATTGTTTGAATGTATACAAAATAGTATGAAAACGATTCATTATTTATATGCATAAGGTTCACTGTTTGTATGCATAATATTCATTATTTGAGCATATACAAACTGATTGAAGGTTGATTATTTAGGCATGTACATTCTAGACTCATTTATGATATACTTGAGGTTCATTATTTGTAGAGCATAGCTGAACTTATTCCACACACTCCACTTCCTTTATTTAGAAATTTGATAATTAATAAATCAATGTTCACTATTTGAATGCATAAAATTCACTATTTGTTTGATGTGCTTTGATGCATTATGGTCCATATAGTTATGCGCCGTCCATAATAAAATATCAAATTGTGAATCTAAGGAGTGTATTCAATCATAACTTTTATAAATTTTAATAATTTGTTAGATAATTTCAATCAAGTTGGTTGAATAGTTGATTTGATAACCACAAGATCCCAAATTCAACTCTTCATATAACACATTTAGATAAAATTATTTTCATAGAAACTCCCTAAATTTTTGTAAGTGCCATTGTTGGTATGACTATCACATGTCATTATACACCCCTGGTTGTTTGCAATAACAATAACATGACTTTTGGTTGAGAGGATAGAATTAGAGAAGAAAAGATTTGTAATTTTATGAGAAAAGAATTATATGGGAATAAAGTAAGAATTTAAATTGCATTGTTTGGTAGTACAATAGAATTATTAGGAATGAGTAATATAAATACTAAAATGTCCTTGTATTATAATAATAATAATGATAACAATAATAATAATAATAATAATAATAATAATAATAATAATAATAATAATAATAATAATAATAATAATAATGAGCAAAAGTGTCTTTTTCTCCATTTTTTTTTTCCTTCGTTTGCATAGCTGAATTCCAATTCATGGAGTGAGGCTATGAATTCTAATTCATTGAATTGAAGGAACCTCCAATCATAATCATAATTTTACAATTCATGAAATTACATTAGTAAAGAATTTCAATTACATTAGTAAAGAATTTGAATTCATGCTAACCAAACACACCTCTTGACTAACTTGAGAGAAGGGTTTAGATTTGGACTTATAAGACAATGACAGTCTTTATTTTAGGACCCGGCCTCTACATCTCTCTGACAAGAATAATCAATAACAAATTTTTGGACTCTAATTAAACTTTGTTGTTGGTTTAAAAAGGTTCAATAGGTTTTAGGTTCTTTTTTTTTTTTTTTTTTTTTTCAGTTAAAGATTTTTTTTTATTTTTTTATTTTTTTATAACTCAGGTTTCACATCTTCGTTGGACTATATTTTGAACATCATGAAATCGCACTTAGACACATGCTCATAAAGAGGTAAATCAAGTGAATATAAATTTGAGACTCAAGACCATATTATACACTTTTGCACACAATGAGTCCAATCCAAATTCAAAACTCAAATATTCGTGACAAAAATTAAACTTCACCTTACTGCTAAAAGCAAATTTTAAGTCAAACTTTTAATCCAGTAATACAATGTCCTAGGACATTTGACCCTTTTTCCTTTCAAATTACATCATGTTTGAAACAGAATAGCTGAAGTTAAAACTAAGTCAAGCTAAGGCAGATACACAGGCCATATATTCATATTTCTTTTGAAAATGAAACAAGTGAACCTTAATCACCAGTACTACATGTGTTCTGAACCTTTGAACCTTTTGCCCCATACCACTTCCCTCCCACTCTCCAGCAGGAATTATCATGTCATTAACCCCATTAAGAAAGGTCTATACAAATTTGAGAAAGGATAAAAGCAATTCGTTTTTCTACTAACACCTATTTAAACCTTCATTCCACCCAGGCTCTTTCTCCTTTCATTCCTCACATCATTCATTTCTGCTATACATTTCTCACCCACCATTACCTTGTAAACTTGTAACCCAGTTTTGTCTATCTACTCCAGCATATAGCAATGGATGATCACGCGAGCTTCTCGTGGACAAACTTCACCCATCAACTCCATCGTGGTTTCATTGCCATGCAACACCAACCTGGTGTAGCTACTTCCTTCCTCTCCCTCTTTGGTTTCGCTTTCTCAGTGATACTCAACTTTCTGCAGTTAAAATATCAAGGCACCAATCAACCAGATCCATTTCAAACGCATCCAAGAACTATGCTAGTTGCGGTGAGTTCTCTGCTAATTTTCTGCTTCATTTATGGACTCAACCAGAGATTTTCTTCGCATTCTCTGTATCGAAAGATTCGAAGCTGTGAAGATATTGTCTGCATAGCTATGGTGTTTTTTCCCCTTCTGTCATTACTGTCAACTGCTTCAGTCTTGTTCCCCGATTCAGTCAGACCAGTTCTCTATGCACTCTGCGTACTGATTTCAGCAGGGGAATGCCTGCAATGGATTTTTCAGAAGATCAAGAATCAGTTAAGAGAAAGAGAAGAAAATGGATGGGGAATTCAACAGTTTGTTAACAATCTGGGCATAAGAAGATTCATAGGATTTCCATCTATGACTATGGCTAACAGATCACTATTACCATTGTGATTGTTAGAAAATTTGAAGAAGGGAAAAGGGGTGGAGGATGGGCATGAATACAATGTCATTGAATCTGATTCTGTTGTAATAAGATACTTGGATGCATATGACAACAATGTATGTACTATGTAGTGATTAGTACAAAAGTAAATGAATGTAATTTTAAGGGAGTTAATACCCAAAATTGTCCTCGACTATAGTGGTTTTTCTCAATTTCGTCCTAAACGACTTTGGTGACCTAATATCGTCCCAGACTTTTGTGTTTCGCTCAATTTAGTCCTCCATATGTTATTCCGTCAAATTGGTGTTAAATAAAGGGACAATTCAATAATGTCAATATTGATCTCTCTTTACTTTCGTCTTGTGAAGTGCGAAATTCCTCTTTCTTGTACGAATTACACCCAGAATTACTCCCGGACCTGCAAATCAAATTTGATATTCGCAGTTTTAGGAGTAATTCTAGGAGTAATTCGTAAAAAAAAAAAAGATTTCGCAGTTCACATGTCTATGAGTAAAGAGATGTCAATATTAAAATTACTGAATTGTCTATTTATTTAACACCAAATGGACAAAATAACAAATGAAGGACTAAATTGAGCAAAAACACAAAAGTCTGGGACTAAATTGAGCGAAACACAAAAGTCTGGGACGATATTAGGTCACCAAAGTCGTTTAGGACGAAATTGAGAAAAACAACTGTAGTCGAGGACGATTTTGGGTATTAACTCAATTTTAAGGTTACAGAATTTCAGTCCCACGAATCCAGATGACCAACCGTAGAATGTATTACTGTAGTGAATGCAAGCAACTTAGAGGGACAAAAGCAGCACTTACATATGAGATGAAAATATCTATTTCTATCAAATCCTTAATACCACAGGCAGTAAGTTTCTGAGCATTGCAACAGCATGAATATGAGCCGTTTAATCCCAGAGAAACAGAAAATAAGCTAAGAAGATAAAGCCTGAGCGTTTATTAACACACAGCAGAGATTATTTCATCACAAGCATTCATATGATTGTATCTTAAGTACACATCTTGAACACGACAGCAACAGTGCGTGCAAATGTGCAATATAATACCAAAACTTCAGCCTTGTGGTCCTATTTTGGAGCCTTCTTCCACAGGATGACGATTCTCTTAAGCATATTTGCATTTTTCCTCTTCAGAAAATCTTCATCAATGCCTTCTGAAAAAGGTGGACTAAGCTTACCAGATCTGTGCCAATGCTGGCTATCCATTGATACAGTTCTGTCCATGAATCTCCCATTCCCAGCTGAAAGCATAGCCGCAGCTGCTTCAGCAGCCTTCCTCCATTGGTCAGAGTGAATTTTCAGCCTCCTTAACTCTGCTTCCAGTTCAGCATTCATTGCCTGTGATACATCCAACTGCTCGGCCACTCTCGCTGCCTGCGTGTTACTCTTCTCAACTTCTTCTTTCATGTACCCAAGCTTCATGAGAGCTTCTTGCCCTGCCGCCTTAGCTCTCTCTAGTTCAGCATCAACTTCATGGTTCACATTCCCCTTGTTGGGTTCTCTTGCCCTGACTTCCAACATCAGCATCTTGTTTTCTTCTGAGATTTTCTGTAGTTCTGTTTCCTTGTGCATCAAATTTGCCTTCAAATTTTCAATATCAACTTTTGAGTTTTGAAGCTCCTGTTCTAGTGTATATTTCCTTTGTCCTGACTGCATATTTTCCAGTCTTAGAGTCTCATTCTCCTCACAGATACCTTGCAATTCAGTTTCTTTATCCATCAGATTTGCTTTCAACCCCTCGATTTCAACTTTCAAGTTGTCAACCTCCTCTTTCAGCACGGTCTCCCTATTACCTGAAATGGACTTCATCTGCTCCATCAACTCATACACACCCCTGATCTCCAAAGTGCTTCGAGTTTGCTCTTCATTGTATCTGATCTCAACTGCTTCTAGAGCAGCTCTCAAATGTTCAATTTCTGATTTCATAGAAGAAATCTCTGCTTCAAGCATTTTCCTATTTTCTTCATTCTGTCCAATTTCGTTCTGATCACACGTAGATTGAGGGCTACGGCAATCAATAATGGTACCAGGGAGTTTGCAAGCAATCTCTTCCAGCAGATTGACAGGTGCCCTTGACTTGTCTAGTTCTGAAGTCACAGGACCATACACTTTCATGGCTTTGAAACCATCTGATCTAAGGGTCTCAACAGTCTTTTTGGCTGCTTCTAGTTGCAGCAGAGTTTCATTAACACGTGGTTGGGCTTGAGCTACTGACTCACTGTTATCCCTTAATTGGGTTTCCATATCCTCTGCGAGCGAAAAACTACCCTTCAGATTTTCTTTCGAGCTATTCAGTTCAGGTTGTGTTTTTTGTCCATTCTTGGTTTGGGTAACCTCATATTCAGCCATAGTTCCAAGCCGGGACTTCAACTGTTTAATTCCAGATAAGGAAGAAAGCAATGCAGTTGAGTCAGTCACCCCAAGCTCAGACTGCAATGTCCGACTCTCCTGCTTAAAGGAGCTCTGAAGTTCACTTGCATAAGTTTTCTCAGAAGCAGCGGTGTGCTTCAACAACTGTTTCGGGGAGTCTTCCAGTATTGAGGTCATGACCGCAAACTGCATCTTCAATAACTCAATATCTTGCTCCTCTTGAATCTTAACCGCTTCTGTAGAACTTAATTGATCTTTGACTTTCTTTAGATCTGTCTGAGGTTCAGAAATCTGAGATTCCAACTTAGTAACCTTGAGAAGAGGAAATGAAACAGAAGATAAAGCTTCCATTAGACAAAATTCTGACGCAATGAAAAACATAGAAGAAGCAGTGATAAATTTGCGAACTTTTTAGAGTTCAGAATCATCTTTGCATGCGGAAGATTGCAATCCAAGGTCAGTCCTACCTAAAAAGTATGAATAATATGTACAATACAATGCTTCCTACAAGCGTCCCTCGACTATCAGCCCACAGAAGTTACACGGTTTAGAAGTCTAAATATGTGGACGCTTCATATATAGATGTATACCTCTAATCCAAAACTCTGGGGTGATCTTTGTTCAGTGATTTTTGAGCTTATATCCTTCAGCTTGCTAATTGCATATGATTGAGATGGTGACTTACGTTCAGGCACAGCTGTCTTGAGCTGCGGTACAGCACGAGGAGAGGTCTTTACTCCATGAGAAAGAGATCGAGGGGAGATCTTTTGAGATTCTTCTGAAGAAACTGCGGGTTGTGATCTTTTTTGAGGTACTTCTAAAGACCTTTGTCTGTAAACAAAACAGTAAACTAACCTAGAAATGAGATGACCAAAGAACTGAGCAATCATCGGGGATTAGAGAAAAGCCAAAAACATTTTAATCAAGGTTGCTACAATGATATACAACTCTCATGCTAAGCATAATTTAGAGGAAAAAAAAAAAATCACAAAACAGAGAACTACCTGAAATAGTTATCTAACACCACAGGCATTTTCAGTCACAATGTTCAAGACATTGAATAGCAGCATCAACCTTATCCTTAGACAAGCATGTATAGAAAATTAAAGACAACGTTTTTGGTGCTTCATCATAAACAGTGTTTGATACCATATAATATAGCACAGGCTCTAACAAGTTAAATTTATATATTGAAAAAAAAAAAAAAATCTACATTATAGAGAAGTTTGTTAAGGTTTTCAATGTTTCTATCATAGTCAGCTGGAAAGAACATAACTACTTGTATTCAAGTAGGGAGGACCACATTCAAATTAGTACAGGAACAGCTTCTATTCAGTCGCAGACCCTCAATTCATAACAGTCGAGAAAATATTAAACTGCATTCTGGAAACAAAACAGATCTCCATCATTCTGTATAAGTGTATATAGTATCTAATGAGTTGCAAAGACATAAAAAACATCAGGATCATTGACAGACAAGCTACATTATCAGACAATCAGACATACTACTCAAGAAAATCAATGCAGTGAAAGCACAAATTAAATAAATATGAAAAAATTAAAAATAAAGATTGCAGTCAACAAAATAACCTACATTAATGTCACTCACAAGCAGTTTTTGAGAAAGCGAAGAATCTATTCTCTAAGAATGAGATGTTTGCATTGCAACAACAGTGACATTAACTCCATAAGAGTTGAGCTCAAATATTAACTAAGATCATTCCACATTGCAATATTCTCTTTCACTGTCTATAGGAGAAAAGTTTGTGAAGAGCTAATGAATTTACCTTGCTTTTGGAGTCTGCATATTTCATTTACTTGTATCTTCTTGGCAGCTAGGTGGGTATCAGATTATAGAAGACCTTATTACTGCACAATTGCTCCCTGCCCCACAAATCCTACAACAGTACAGATATTATGGCACCACAGCCTAATAGTGTAGACATTATGATATCTGCTATAGTGCTATTATTGCTTTCACGAGTAGCTCCAAGTTTTTACAATTTACCCATTAAAGTTGATTAGGTGACAAGACAAAGTGGACCAATGGATAAATTGGTTGCCCTTTGAAGTTCATAATCCTCCATTTTAGCCTGAATAACCGGATCTCTACTGCATTTTCTTTTCTGGGATACAACCATTTTTTTCTTTGGAGAGTTTCATTCTTCAAATTTTCAAAAACAAAGAAAAGAAGAAGCAAGTATCCAAAACAACTAAGAATGTCCAACAACACAGCATATAAAAAACGACTATTATATGCATATACATGCCTTTAATGTGGATACCTAACAACTGAAAAGTGTTAAAGGGACTTTTCGAGATTCGAATTTTAACTTACAGCAAGGCCCTGAACCCTGCAGAAAGAGAAAGCTGAGGATTTTTGAGATATCAACTCAAACGCAGACATAACACTGTTGTATTGTTGTAAAGAAGCTAAAAGTGGGGGAATTACAGGCAATAATCATCCTACGTCCAAAAAAGTTCAAAACAATGCAATCATTGTAGGGCGAAGAACATAATAATAACAATAACAATAATAATAACAATTTATAATTGCATTTTGCTTTGAATTTCAGGGAACGCGAACAAAATTCTAACAATTTACCAGCATTAAAATAAGAAATGGCGATCCACCATTCAAGTTGAAGCTTGAAAACAGCACAGTACAGTTGTCGAGGCCATTGACTTACTGCTAATCAGATACGTAATTGCCTGCGGCTGAGGGAGAATTCAATTGACGAAAGTGTGGGCGCGGGCGTTGCGGAGAAAATTGCAAGATTTGCGACGACAATTGGGCGCGAAGACGTCAAAAGAACCTGCAGCCAGTGATTAACTAGCATAATCTCGTGATTAAATTAGCTTTCAAATGCTAAAAACACCTAATTATGGATTACATAACATAGTTACCTGCTCAAATGCTGATCGAATAATCGGAAATGTGAAAGAGAAAGGATTCAATAGCGTGAAAGTTGAGCTTAATTTGGAATCAGTCATGCAATTAAGAAGGTTTTAACTAGGTGATTAACATAAAACCATCATATTTAACGAGGTGATTAACACAAAAAGCATCATATATTCAACCATAAAAGTTATACTCCGTATTATACAAATTGTCAAAAAATCTAGTAATTTCATGAAAATGTTACTCTTTTATTCTTACAAATCTTCACATATATGCTAACTCTTGTGGAGCTTACTAAAATTTCTTTCTTACCTGTATAGTCATAAATGCTTGTATATCATCATTGAAGAGTGATATTACTTAGAAGCATAAAATGAGAAATAAAAGATTGTTTAAGATTGAGAAGATACTAAATTGTAAGTTCAAATATATTATTTATTAAAGAGTAAATACCCAAAATGGTCCCTCGACTATAGCTAAATTCACAAATTGGTTCTCGACTTTCAATTTCAACCAATTAAGTCCTTAACTTTGTAATTTTAACATAATTTAGTCATCTGTCTATTTGACCATTTGTTGACTGTGACTTTTGAGGATATATATGTAATTTCATGGGTCATCGTCGGTTTTTTAAGGTTCTGGTTGCATTTCCAGACCGCACTGTTACATTTTAATCCACTGTCGAAAGCAATCTACCAAATCCGGTTGCCTTTCTTCATCCTCCCTTTGGATTCAATGTAGTTGAGTTCATACCAGAGCGAAGAAGATGACGTTTTTCCGAACCAGTGCAACGTCATCCTGGAGGCCTCCACGTGCTCCGATGCGAGCTGAAGGTTCTTCTGGAGATCGTCGATCACGGTCAACAAACGGTCAAATAGATGGAGGACCAAATCGTGTCAAAATTACAAAGTTAAGGACTTAATTGGTTGAAATTGAAAGTCGATGACCAATTTCTGAATTTAGCTATAGTCGATGGACCATTTTATGTATTTACTCTTTATTAAAATTTGTTTTGTATATAAATTACTCAGTTTGATGCGTTATTAAATATATACTGTAACGAGTCATATGTGTGGATATTCGTTCAAGAGAAAGCGATAAAATTTATAAAATTTAGTTGTACCTAACAATATTTGTAATATAGAAATTTCCATCAAACACAATTAATTTTGTTAGTGATCTTATTAAAAATCACTACTTTGTAGATAATTAAGAAATAAAAAGTGCACCGACCACTCTTATATTGGTTTCATCATCGAACAATGTTATAGCTATATAGCTAGTCTTGTCTTCTTTGCATGTCAACATATTAAGAGATCAACGAACCTGGTTGCCCATACGTTAGTTAGGATGGTAGGCTCTCAATCTGATTCTTATTCTTGGGTCAATACCCCTTGATTGTATTCTCACTTTTCTTCCCGTTGTTCGTTAATTTTTTATAAAGTTTTTGGTTAAAAAAGAAAAAAGAAAGTGTCAACTATCATGTAATATGATAGTATCTCAGTTACCATTTTAAATGAGTGGTCATAGGTTCGAGTTCTGGTGGTGAAGCTTAGATTTTTTAGGCATATTATCTTGTAAAAAATCATGAGTATTTAAAAAAAAAAATTAAAAGAAAGAAAAAGTAGATAGAATAGTAATTCAATAACCAAATAAACAAAATATGAATATAATTAAAGGGAGCTAATTATATGAATGGTCTATTAAATATTGATATTTGTCCATTTTTATCACTAACTTTCAATTGGACCATAAATGATATCTTTTTATCAATTTTTATCATCGACTTTCAATTTAATTATAAACAATCCATTTACTATTGATTTTGTTCCAAATCTGGTCATATAGTTAAATATTTATTTAGTAAACATTAAATTTAAGGGTAATAGTGTATAAAATGGCCCGTTGTTAAGATTGACAAATTGAATTCATCATTAGTGGAATGTAAAGAACTAAATTTTAATATTATTACCCTTAAATTTAATAATGTGCAACTGCCAAAGACATGAGACAAGGTTTCAATGTATTCCATACAAATAGGATAGGTCGGCATCAATCAAGTTATATACCTCGATCTCCTTAAGCTCCAAGGCTGATGCCATTTGTATCATAGGATTAATTTCACACGAGAATCACAAGTGACCCCAGACATACTTATCTCTTATAGTACCAATCCTTTGGCAACACCCTCCTATCACAAGGCACTGGGTTGCTATGATACTCCTCCAACAGTAGCTCGGATTAAACCCCAACTTGACATCCAGAAAAGAGCATTTGGGGAAGTACCAACAAAAAGATGATCTTGTCGGCAAATTATGCTCTGCATCCGTATGCACCATGCATGGTGCATACGAATGCAAAAACGACGTCGTTTTAATAAAACGCGCGTCTCCCCTTAAATAAAAAAAATCAGGTTCGATTTCCAGCAACAACATATGAACTAAAATTCCATAATCGATGAACTATAATTCCATAATCTAATCTATGAACTAAAAATTCCAGAATGAATGAACTAAAATTCCATAATCTATAAACTAAAATTTCAGAATCGATGAACTACAATTCCATAATCGATGAACTATAATTCCATAATCAATGAACTATAATTCGATAATCTATGAACTATAATTCCAGAATGAATGAACAATATAATGTTGTTGCTGGGAATCGAACCTGAATTTTTTTTAAAGGGAAGACACACGTTTTTTAATAAAACGACGTCGTTTTGGCATCCGTATGCACCATGCATGGTGCATACGGATGCACAGCATAACGATTGGATCTTGTCTTAAATAGCTCAAAAAATGGACCAACAATTGGAAGTAGCAAAATTGTTACAAATTTAATTTTGGGCCGAGGATCCAATTCATATGCATTTGGACCAATAAATATTAAAAGCCCAAAATGGATCTCCATATGTTGGGCTCATGGGGGAAACCCAATTGGGTGGTGTGGCTAAATTATATTATGGTACATGGTCACATTATAAGGTGAGATCACAAATAAATTTTATTTTTAGTATATATTGAAATTTTATTTTTAATATGTTAAAATTTTATTTTTAAGTAGTATATAAAATGAATATGTAGATCAAATCGTCAATGGTGAGGATCAAACTTCTTATGGCTATCTGATTTGCGTCAATATGAGTAACTTATATTAAATTTGATCATTTTGTTGATTAAAGCTACAAAACGATATTCACCTAAAACGCACAATCATGTGAATTCAAGTTTTATCATAAATCAAAATAATTTTGTGTGCATTCCTAAGTATTGAAAAGAATTTTTAAAAATAAAAATAAAAATCCATTGAAATAAGGTCGCATACGTTAAACTCGGGAATGGATTAGTCGGTTGCCAATTTTCCAACGAGTCCAAGGCTGGACCACCGACCGCCATTCAAAAGGGAATAAAATGGTAAGATTCTTTAGTTTTAATTTTTTTTTAAATACATTTTATGAATTAGATATTAAATATGTAATATTTATTCTAAAGTAACGATTTTATGTTACTTAATTAATTATATTGGCTCTCTAATTTTTTTACTCCATATTAACGTAATCATCATAATCTACATTATATATCGCAACGACATTGGACTAGACTTGCATTATTAGAAATATTTGGTATATTTTTATATAGC